TAGTGTTTTTTGCTGTCATTCCTTGAAATACCTTATTATTTAAAAAGCAGGGAATACTTTTAATTATATTCAAAGTTATATACAGTATAAAACTCACATTTAACCATGACCATGTAGACGTCAATGGTGCAGATGGGCGGCTGAGGCAAACGTTCGCCTTTCTCCAGGATGTCTGGAATGTCCCGTGTGGGAATCCCGTCGTAAGGCTTTCCTCCAAACGTCATCAGCTCCCAGATAGTCACTCCTGAATAATAATATACAGCATAAAGACAGCATTTTTTAAAAGAAATTTTCACTATTAGTTTCTTTGAAAAATAAAAACATTGTTCTTCAATGACATCACTGTGACGGTCAATATGCCAGCTAAAATACCAAATACTAAAAGTTTCATGATAATTATTGGTATAATTTAGTAACTGTAAATTGCACCAAAAATACAGTTTATTTAAAAGAAAATAAATAAATAAACATTTTTAGATGATAAAAATGAATTTAAAAAGTGGTTCTTTAAAGAAATTTTCTATAATAGTTACTTTGAAGAATTACAAAAAAATCTTCACTGAGACAGCCAATATACAAGCTAAAATACTATTACTTTTTAACTAAAAGTTTCCTGATAATATTTAAAGCTTTTAGTATATTTTATTGACCGTAACCTAGACCAAAAACAGTTAATTAAAAAATAAATAAAATTTTTTTTTATTCCATATAAGGATCTTGCTAGTAGAAAGAAGATTAAAATCTATTTAAAAGTGGTTCTTTGAAGAAATCTTCACTAATTGTTTCTTTGAAAAATCCAAAATGTTCCTCAATGGCATCACTGTGACAGCCAAAATGTCAGCTTAAATACCAAATATTGTCATACTAAAAGAGTCATGATAATATTTAAAGCTTTAAGGTATATTTTAGTGACTGTAGCATGCACTAAAATACACTTTATTAAGAAAAATAATGATAATAAATATTTTTGGTTTATTCCACAAAAGGATCTTGATGGTAGAAAGATGATTTAAATAAATTTTTAAAAAGTGTTTTTTAAAATAAATTTTCACCATTAGTTTCTTTAAAAATTAAAAACATTGTTCTTCAATGACATCACTGTGATAATATACCAAATACTAAGTTTCATGATAATATTTGGTATATTTTATCAACTATAAATTGCACCAAAAATACAGTTTATTTAAATAAAATAAATAAATAAACATTTTTACATGATAAAAAATGAATTTAAAAAGTGAGATTTTCTATAATAGTTTCTTTGAAGAATTAAAAAAAAAAAAAAAATCTTCACTGTGACAGCCATTATGCAAGTTAAAATACCAAATCCTATTCTACCAAAAATGCCATGATAATTAGAATAATATGATATAAACCTATTATAACTGTGAGCTTAATATAGTATAAATATCCTATGTAGTGAAAAGTATAGACTTGCAAATCAGTGTGTGTCCTTGGTTAGTAAGGGTTTGCATCAAAAAGTAGAGTGTGCTGCACTAATTGATTAAGAGCAAACTAGAACAAAGGAAAAATGTCACTCACCGTAACTCCATACATCACTCTGATGTGTGAACTTTCTGTAATGAATGCACTCCAGTGCCATCCACTTGATAGGCATCTGCATAAAAGACCACTCATATCAGGATATATTCTTTAATGCAATCATGTATAATTAAAACGTATCTAAAAGAAAATTCAAACTTAGAAACAGCACTGTAATATGGATAAAAATTAGAAGTACAATCAAGCAAGGACCATTCTTATGGATTAATGAAGGTTTTTTTTTTTATAATACAGTTGCAAAATCACCTAAAATTGAGAATTGCTTTGATCTGTTCAAGTGTTATGAGGCTATATACAGTGTAATAAATATCTATTAATTAACAGATTCTGTATTTTGTGATTCACACGTGTGAATTATGCATTATGGGATGTTGATCTCTACTCTGTCAACTTTCAATGTTCAAAATTTGACTCTAAAGTTTAACAAAGTGACTTTTATTAACATTTTAGAAGTTTGAAATATTACAACGTGTAAGAAATAATATATCAATGAATAAATCTGTCAAATAACTGAAAATTTACTTGCAGTTTAATACAAGATTTTTGTACTGTGATATACAACACCAGTGCAGACAGTATATCACTTTAAACTCTTAAAAGATGTTACTTAAAGTCAGTTTTTCAAACTTGTCAAGGTTAAACTTTGTTGGAAGAAAGATTAAAATCCCATACTGCAATTCAAAATCTTGAATAAAAGGGGGGAAAAAACTTGAATCACAAATGATGGAAAACTGCTAACATACAGATATTTTTTTTTACAGTGCACGTTCTAAACACTGACCTTCCCTCCATCTGAATTGTACTCCTTTTCATCAGTGTCCAGCAGTCGAGCGAGGCCAAAGTCAGTGATCTTAATGTGGTTTGGAGATTTAACCAGAACGTTACGAGCTGCAAGATCCCTGTGCACCAGCCGTCTCTCCTCCAGATACATCATACC